GGGCCATTAGAAGATAATGATACAGGAATAAAGCAGTCATGAAGTGGAAGCAGTTGCGATCACGCATGGCTCTAACCTCCTCGCTGATTAGAAGAAAAGACACGGTGGTAATGAGAAATGAGTAGTGTAGCTACAGGGGGTTTAGCTTAATGAGCGTTACTCGCGACCAGACACACCACACATCCTCCACCGAAGGCAGGAATGCACACTGAAACAGGTTTCTGCATTAAGGCTCGTGTGTATGTGACCTGTTGGTGATCTGAGATGTCATGAGGCCGAAAGATGTCTCTCCCTAGGTGACTTTCCAGATTGAAGTTCATAATAATAGTCTCCCTGTCCAAGCTCAATAGTTTATTGTAGTGTGGGGAATTTAAGTATAGGTTCTTCATATTCTTTTCTGATTTTTAGGACACAAGGCTAAAAAGATACAGGAGTCAGGCAGATGTTTGGTCTACTTTCTCTGTTGGCAATCACACCTCACAGCACTCTTTCTCCCTTTATCAGCCCATCTGAATTTCTTCTGTCCTCCAGCTTCTTGTTTTCTTACTTTTCCCACTTGATCTTCCTCATCTTCTCTTATTTTCCATCAGCAGGCGCCAGTCTGCATCTTCAAACAGCTGTCCCGCTTTAACTAATCAGGGTCATTGTGTTGGTATAAGTCACACAGGAAAGAAATAGAATCACATAAAAGCATGCAGAAGCAACAATAGATCATATTTCAGACATCGCTAATATGTGTTTTTAAAAGAATAGATGCAGAGGTACATTATCAGACTACATTACCAGTGAAGAAACTTTTCCATTTCTGTGTTGATGTATCCGGTTGATAGTCTGGCAAAGTGGAGTGGATGGCGCCAGTAAAACTCTTGGCTCTTTATAGTCAAATAAATCCACAATACAATCTTGTGCTTTGCGTGCATCCATTCTGTATATGTATGTGAGTGTGTTATCGCTCAAACTCAAACCATACAAACAAGACAAACACACATCCCTTCACTGACTAAAACAGCCATTAAGTCAGAGATTTATCTGCCCTCTTCTGCTGCTGCTCGAGGTTTATATCAGACACACATTAAAACCAAATGCTGGGATGCAGCTCATGCTTGCTGAACTTTTTAAATGAGAGACAGTAAAACAGAGCAAAGTAGACTTTTATTGCTGTTGACAACACATCTAAAGGAGAAAATTAGTTTCGAATGAACTGCGTGAGTCAAAGTGCTATAAAGTCCTCTAGAGATGTGTCTCCTTGCTCACTATGATGAAATCATATCAGAATAAATACAGATGTAGTATGATGAATTAAATTCTATAGGTACGTTTTAGGATGTATTCTGTGTATAATAATTATTATTATAGTTATAGTTATAGTAGTAAGTGTACACTGTAGGTTAATTGAAACTCTAATTGTTGAAACTGATTGCATTGAAAGTAAGTTAAGTTAAACAAACTCAATTTTGTAGGTTACCGAAACATTCTTGATCAAGTAACTTTAGTAATTTCAAGTAATGCTGACCTAATTTTGTAATTTCTATTTGTACTGTGAAAACAATATAACTATTCCCTATCAGGAATGTTTCTGTAACTTATAAAACTAAGTTAGTGTCATTTAAAATCACTAGTAAAAGCTGCTTCCTCAAGAATCTTTTTGAACCTACATAAATTAGTCTGTGTTAATTAAAATTGTCGATGTATTCTGTTTCAACTGTGTTTTTTGTTAAAATAACTTATCGCATTAAAGTTTTTTTTATCCTGCACATGTGTTGAGAGGTTGCAGCCTGTAAATTCAACTTTCACCCCTCTCCAAAATCCAGCAGCCTACCAACCATACCAACCAATCACACCTGGCCTCTGACCTCTCACACTGACCTCTGACCCCGGCTGACAACCCCGATTTGGAATGAATGGCTTTGACAGGCTTCTGTTTCATGGTATAGCACACTGGCCCACCAGAGGAGCGTGCTAATAAACATTAAGCTGATAATAAAATGATAAATGCACTGTTCTGGTTGTGCTGCATATACTGAAAATACCAAAGCAATATTTTTGAGCCATGCTTGAAACATGTCCTTATGAATAGTGTAACGCTTCTTTGGGGGTTTACAAAATGAATGTACTTATGCTACACTAAGATAATAAACATGGTTTACATTACCTGGTAAACATAAACATGTTAGCCTTATCATTCATTAGCATGCTGACGCTACCAGACTGTTTGCTGCCACCCTCAAATAACCCTCTCTTATGAAAAGATATATTTCCTATGCCAGTGTCAGACATTAATTCACAGACACACCTGAAAATTATTATAATTTCTGGAACATCCCTCAGTGTCTCGCACAAAATTCCCTTTTCTGACAGAAATATACAGAATAAAAGGAGCCACCATTATTATTCACAGGTTTATACACTCAGACACAGATACAATAAATACATACTGTATATACATATTAGACCTTGTAAATGTTTTGGGTACACAGAAACCACATACTATCAACACATTCGCCTCAGCCTCTGTTAGTATACAAAGTGCACATATTCCATCCAGATGCACAACCTGGACTTCATTATAAAACATATGCCATACATATTCCCTTTTGGATTCTACAAAATCATATTTACTGTGCTCGTATAATCGCCACGTGTGGTTGAGGAGCTGCCCTGACCGCTGAGCCAGATCCATTTCTGGACAGCTACCAACTATTACGCCATGAATCAGACTGGAATTAATCTTGACCATCAGAGAGTAGAAGCATGTGATATGAAGCCCCCTGAGATTCGCAGACACTCCACCCTGCAGAAACAGCTACAATGTGTCTTCGCCTCCAGAGAACGCCTCTCAGATGAAAGGAATTTTTGTCTTTTGAGTTGGAGAGTCTGTCTCCGAAAAGACTTATGGTGTTTCTTCCTATCACTCTTATTTCTGTCTTAAATGTATTCAATTCATTCACAACTGTAAGAATGGATGCTGTGTCCAGACTGAATACCATGTCTGGTTTAGCTGTGGAAGTAGTTATGTGTGTATGTGAGTTACAGTACAGTATGTATGTGTGTCTGTCTGTGTGTG